GCATCGTACAGAAGACGGAAGTTCTCGTTGGTCTTGGGGATGGAGATGACATCTGCAAACAAAGCAAGGAAATGTTGAGAGGAGGTCGAAGACACATAGGTAAACCATGTTGAGAAAGTGACAAGACAAAAGATCCAAACCCCATCCAAAACCAAGGCTTCAATGTCACCAGACCAACGCGGAAACGGCAAACTACACACCACAATCAACCAAAGAGACGCCAGCATCGCAGAGGTCACACTCGAAGATGTGTTGCCAAAGACAGGGAGGGAGACTTGTCCACCAAACATCAACTTGCTTGTGCCTCTACACGCACATGCACACACGCACCCAGGACCAAAGGTCGAACTTACCCATGAAACCAGCGGGGTAGGTCATGTCCGTGCGGACCTTGCCGTCGACCTTGATGTTGCGCTCCTTGGTGATCATCTTAACCTCGTGGTATGTCAGGGCATACTTCAGGCGGTTGCGGATGAAGATGACAAGGGGCAGGCACTCGCGCAGCTTGTGGGGGCCGGTGGAGGGGCGGGGAGCAAAGCGACCAGACAGCTTGTCCTGCACATCAAAAAGTCAAAAAGACAAGGCCACGGCAACAGAGACACAAGCAAATTGGAACGGGAACACAACAACAACAACAACAACAACAACAACAACGACGATGACGACGACGACGACAACAACAACAACAACAACGTGAGTGCCGGCACGGAACAACAATGCCCTTGCTTGTTGTTGCTTGTTGTGTCATTGATGTTAGTTTCAACTCGGCTGCTGCCACTGCTGTTGTTGCTGCTGCAGTGTGATTGCGTTGGTGGGAGGTTTCTTCAACGCCACGTGTGTGCATGACCCCATGGCACCATCCCATGAACACCAGCGCTGTACTCGAGCATCGTGCACGTGGCACGCTGTTGCCGCCCACAGTCACAGTTCCACCAATGCGGTTTCTGATGTTATCTATGGGCACGGTTGCTGATGTTGGTACTGCTTCTGTTGGACCCATCGCCATCGCCGTTGCACATTGCTTGTAATCGCGCGTCAATCTCCTTCCTCCTCCATATCCTCCTCCTCATCGTCATCATCATTATGCGATCCAAGACGGCGCTGATGATACTTGTGCACCAAAACCACACAACCCGATACTCACACAAACAAACAATCACGCCGTCGCACACATGCACACACACGCGCGCGCCGACGTACCAGCATCCAGTGGCGGGGGGCGTTGAGCCGCTTGAGGTGCTTCTTGGGACCGCGAGCCATGGCTGGTTTGGTGGTGGGTGAGAAGCGTGTGCGCAGGTGGCAGAGAAAAAGGCACTTTGGCCGTGCACTCACATGCGCCCCCTTCCACACACACAAAAAGAGAAGCCTTGTGCTGTGCGGAAAAGGCAAAGAAGATGTTCGTTGATTTTCGGTCGGTACTCACAGTACCGGGTACTTGCTTACGTTTACTAAAGATATCCGGGAAAAGCAGGCAGCGGAGCAGTCTAAAATCTGCATTCACATTGCAGAAAATTCCACACCCCAAACACCTGAGTGGACCGGACAAAGGTGTTCCAGACCGAGCGCAGCGGACCGCCGCGGCAGTCGCAGGCACACAAGCAGTTGGTCAGCGTCGTGCTCTCCACATCGGGGAACCGTCGCTCAAACTCCACCGCATCCTGCCGGGGCTGTATGTGTAGAGGAAGCAAGGGGAGGTGGGGCCATTGTGTGTTATGTGTGTGTGTGTTATGTGTGTGTGTTATGTGTGTGTGTGTTTGTTGATGTGTGCGTGTGTTGGGTGTTGGTGTGCAAAAGTGTGTGTGTGTGTGTGTGTGTGTGTGTGTGTGTGTGTGTGTGTGTGTGTGTGTGTGTGTGTGTGTTGGGGGTCGTCGTGGTTGATGTGCATCGTCATATGGTAGCCATCCCCGAAGACGCGCGTCGAGCGGGCATCCAAGCAAAGGGGAGCGTGTAAGCTGATGATCGCTTCAAGCACTGCAGCACGACACAAGCCAGCAACCCGCACAAACAAACGCAGCTCAACAGCCCAAACAGTGTGCATGTGAAACACACAACGCACACGGCAAACACTCTGGGGCGGGGGCTGCACACAAAGAACTGTACACAAAGAACTGCACAGCTGCACGAACACACATGAATACACACAGCTGCAGCAAACAAGAACACACACACACGCACACACACACACACACACACACACACACACACACACACACACACACACAGCTTCCCTTTCCCAAGACACACACCCAAGACACACACCCAAAACACACAACACACACCTGGTAGTTTGAGCCGAGGCGACCAAAGGCGGTGCGCTCGTCCAAGTGGTCAACCACCTGCGCATCAATGACCGCGCAAACGCGCCCACCGTCGTCTGGGCTGGTGCGGATCGGGCCCTTCAGCGCAGGGCGAAGCCGGCACACGTCCCGAGCATACGCACACCACTTGTAGTCCAAGCCCCAGCCGCTGCCAAGGTCCCCTTGCACAAGGTCGTACACGCACCGCCACGCATCTGCCATGAAGGACACAAACGGCCCGCACTCGATAAACGTCGTCCAGCGCCCATAGTGTGGGCCTGGCACGTTGCGGCACACGCGGTGGTCGCTGGAGCGATCGCGCAGCTCGCCCCACGCCACGGACGGCTGCGCAATCGGGATCTGCCGCTCCCACTGGATGTCCAGAAACGAGTGCACGTCAAAGTGCGCCAGGCCCACATCGCAGTCCAGCAACAAGAAGAAGTCATACCCGTCCACCCGCTCCGGCGGCACGTTCGCCTTGTAATGGTGCATCTTGAGCGCGCGGGTCTGCAGCACCGTCACGCCGTCCAGGGCCTCCAGCGCGGACCAGTCGGTGCCATCGTACACGAAGAACATGTAGTTGAACTGCGTCCGACCCCAGTCCTCCAACATCTGCTCCACGCGCGCGCGGCACTTCTTCCCCACCGTCATCCCCACCAACACCTTGCCCCAGGGTCTGCCTTGCTCCCGTGGTGCTTGCTGCCGCTGTTGCTGTTGCTGTACAAGGTTGTGCTTTGGTCCAGTGCCAGGTCGCTTCTGGGATGCCATGTATGGGCGGTCGCTCATGACCACCAGCACCACAAGCGCGAGCACGAGTGCCGGTCCAGCCAGCGTCCAAGGGCGCCGTCGTCGCCCACCACCCGCCAACAGCTGCATGGATGGGCACTAGGCAAGAAGCTGCCTGCTCCTGCAAACCAACAGTGGGAGTGGGGGAAAGGAAGGGGGGGGGAGGGGAAGGAGTGGTGCACCCGACAGACTGCCAACTGGTGTTTGTGGTCGTCGTCGTTGTTGGCTGAATGATGAGCAGTTGGGAAGATTATTTAACGTCTTCCATCAATCTTCACAAACCTTGCGACTGTGTGTGTGTGTGTGTGTGTGTGTGTGTGTGTGTTGTGTGTGTGTGTGTGTGTGTGTGTGTGTGTGTGTGTGTGTGTGTGTGTGTGTGTGTGTGTGTGTGTGTGATGTGACATGACAAACATGCACCCTCCAATGCGCTCACTTGTTGCTTTGCTTGCCCAATGATAGCTCGTTTAATTTGGCTCGTTCCTTGCTTCTCTGAATAAGATACAAAACGTAAGAGAGATAGATGAAAGACTACTCCCACGACTTGTCCCACAACGCCACCGCTGCCTGCTCATGTAACACGTGCAAAAGAACCACAAGAAGCGGAACAATCAAAGCACAAAAGCACAACAACAACAACAACAACAACAACAACAACAACAACAACAACAACAACAACAACAACAACAACAACAACAACAACAACAACAACAACAACAACAACAACAACAACAACAACAACAACAACAACAACAACAACAACAACAACAACAACAACCAAGCAGAAGGAGGCAGACAACCCCCTTGTTCCTATCACTCAGCACGCCTTTTGGCCCTCTCCACAATCACCACTTGGGCGCGTTGATGCTGTTGTAGGTGGTTGCGTTTGCTTCTGCCGGCTTAAGCGGCCGCTTCTGCGCCTGCTGCGAGTGTGCGTCATCCTCGCCATCATGCCCTGCATCGCCATGCACGCTCGCGCGCTGCTCGTCCGGTCGCATGAAGAGCGCCTCAATCTGCTCCAGGCTGCGGCCTTTTGTCTCTGGCAGCGCAAAGTACACGTAGACAATGCTCAGCAGCGCGATTGCAGAGTACAGCCAGAACGTGCCAGCGCGCGTGATGGCGTTGGTCAGGGACAGGAAGCTCAGCGACACGCCGAGGTTGCACACCCAGTTGATGGCGGCCGCATAGCCCGTGCCGGCGGCGCGCACGTGCGTGGGGAAGATCTCGGCGTTGATGGTCCACGGCAGAGCAGCCACACCCAGCCCAAACGCGGACAGGTACAGGCACATGGACACGATGGTGAGGATGGAGTAAGGGCTCGGGCACACGTTGGAGATGGCGACGTCGCCGGCAGACGCGTACCAGTGGGCCGCATCCACACAGGCAGCAGGCACTGCAGAGGTGTTGGCGTTGGCAAGGCACACGCCGCTGCGCTGGTGGCTGCCGGCATCCACGCAGAACCCGCAGTGGTGGTGCTGCAGACACGTTACGCAGTTGGGGTGCGCGCAGGTAGGGTCTGACAGCGTGTTGTTGCCGGCGGGGGAGTGTGTCTGGGAGAGGTAAAAGGCCTGGGCCATCACCAGCAGCGACACAAACACGCCCACGAGGCTCCACAGCAGCAGAGAGCGGCGGCCAGCACGCTCCACAAGCAGCAGGCCAAACACAGTGAAGACGCTGAACACGCCCGTCACCAGTGCGGAGATCCACATGGCCTGTGTGTCTGAGGTGATGCCCGCCATCTTGAGGATGGTGCCGGAGTAGTACATGACCGTGTTGATGGCCGTCACTGGCAAGGCCAAGCAACACAAGCATCGGCAGTACAAACAGGAGGGGGTGAGGATGGAGGAGGCAAGGAATGTTGGGTTGCACTATGTTGGATTAGTGTGTGTGTGTTTGTGTGTGTGTGTTTGTGTGTGTTTGTGTGTGTGTGTGTGTGTTTGTGTGTGTGTGTGTGTGTGAGTGTGCGTGTGTGTGTGTGGGTGTTTGTGTATGTGTGCGTGTGTTTGTGTGTGTATGCGTGTGTGTGCACGTTAGCATGTGAGCATCTGTGCGTGGCCATCTCAGCATGCGCCTGCGCACATCCGTATGCATCTGTGCGTGTGCATCCAGACAACATGTGACATGGCGCCACGCACCTTGATTGATGACTTGAAGCATGCAGGCGAGGAAGAGGATGCGACGCAGGTGGGGCTGTGCGAGGATGTCCATCAGGCCGCCTTGCCGCTGTGTGTTTGCAGCCTCAATTGAGTCAAGCTCAGGCTCCACATTGAACCCCTTCCCGCGCAGCTTCCGCAACACCAGCCCTGCACGCGGGCGCTCGCCCTTGTAAACGGTGCACAAAACAACGGTGGTGGGTGAGGGAAGGAATGAAGGCGCAATGGGCATGATTGAAGGTGTGAAAGAGAGGGCCGGTGGCAACCAACGTAGTGCGCGCGCCGCGTGTATGTGCATGTGCGTGTGTGCGTGTGTGTGTGTGCGTGTGTGTGTGTGTGTGTGTGTGTGTGTGTGTGTGTGTGTGTGTGTGTGTGTGTGTGTGTGTGTGTGTGTGTGTGTGTGTGTGTGTGGTGGTGTGGTGTGGTGTGCGTGCGTGCGTGTAGCGGGCGTCACAGCATTTGACGTGGCAGCTGTTTCACCTTTGCCACGAGGAAGCGTGGTGACTCTGGAAGGAAGAAGAACGCAACAAACTGAACCACGGCAGGGATGGCCGAAATGGCAAACATGTACCTGAGAAGACAAAGTGTTGTCAAAATGTCATGAGCTGTCAGCGGCAGGAAGACAAGGGGCAAAAGAGAGCTACAGCGAACACACACCCCCCCACACACACACACACATGTACACACACATGAACACATACATGTACACATACATGAACACACATACACAAGTACAAAGGTGTCCATGACACTGCAGTGTCTGGAGCAAACCCGTACCTCCATCCACTGGGGACAGTGCTGAAGGCAGCATCAACAATGTTGGCCAGGCATTGGCCAGTGGCAATGCACACTGTGTTGACTGCGGTGAGCGCACCACGGATGTGGGATGGTGCGCACTCTCCGATGTACACGGGCACAGTCGCAGATGCAGCACCAACACCAAGGCCAACCACAAACCGACCTGAGTGAGCGTGTGAGTGTGTGAGTGTGTGTGAGTGAGTGAGTGTGAGTGAGTGTGTGTGTGAGCGCGACACTTCCATAAGCAAGGCCGGCACGGATACAACCACACATGTGTTACACACGTGTACACACACACGCACGTACACGCGTGCGCATGTTGCAGAGAAGGAGAACCGCCAACACACCAACAGCGAGAATCTGCCAGTTTGGGGAAAAGGTGAGGATGGCTGCACCCGCAAGGAAGACGAGGGAGCCGATGATGATGCTTGGCTTGCGCCCAATCTTCGAAGAGAGGCCACCCGACACGATGGAGCCAACAAAGGCCCCAGCCACCGTCAGGGCGACCACCACCTCCTTCTGGAAATCGGATAACGAGAACTCCTTCTCCAACAGCAGCAACGCTACACAAAGCATGCATTGTGAGTGGATGCATTGTGAGTGAATGTGTGTGTGTGTGTATTTGTGTGTGTGTGTGTGTGTGTGTGCGTGTGTGTGTGTGAGTGAGTGAACGCGTGTGGGTATTTGTGTGTATGTGTGTGTGCGTGAGTGTGTGTGTGTGTGTTTGATGGGGTGGAACTTTACCGTTGCCCTTGGCATCATGTGTGGTTGTGGTGTCGAGCTGGCTAGCTTCATGTCACACCATCATGGCATCGTCACGACCCACCAACGACCACCACCACACACAGCTTCAAGCACATCACAGCAGCAGCAGCAGCAGCAGCAGCAGCAGCACACGGATCAAGCGCACCACAGCAGCGGCTCCACAGCCACTCACCACCAGAGATGACGCTGGTGTCATAGCCAAACAGGGTGCCACCAAACCCGGCACAGATGGTCAGCAGCAGCAGGTCCACCGTGAACGTTGGCCGAGGGCCTCGCCGAAGCAGCGACAACCCAGCTCCATCATCACTACCATCACCACTACCACCACCACCCCTGCTGCTGCTGGCTCCAAACGCAAGACCACCCCCCATGTTTGTTTTGTTGCCAAACCACAACAACAACACTACGACCACCCACCGTTTACGACACCACAAAATTGATGGAAACACTCCCACCCCTGAAGTCAGGTTGTTATTCCATGCATTTTTTGTTCCGCGACAACTTGGCCTTGTCGTCTTCGCTGCGGAAGGTGAGGTGTCGTTCGTTGTTGTGTGTGTGTGTGTTTCGTGTGTGTGTGTGCGCAGAGTGGGTGGGTGTAGCCGACTGACCGACTGCCTTCTGCACCCTCACCACCACCAACAACACACGTCGTCCACGACAGTTGGACTGCGAATGCTGCTTCTTTTTGCACTTTCGTGTTTCAAACACTCCCTCCCCCCCCCTCTCTCTCCCCAACCACACCGCACACACGCACACATACACACAAAGTGTCCTCCACTCGCTGTTATTCCCTTTGTCTTCTTCGTCTGCGTATCCTTTTATTTGCGCTCTCTCCCGCGCTCGCGTCCCCTTGCTTGTGTGTGGCGTGTCCCCGCTCACTCACTCACACTTCCCCTTACGCTGTCCTGACGTCACCACGCTGCCCCAGCTCGACGTGTCCCTGCACCTGCATCTCTTTCAAACCCTTCACAACCAGTCATGGGCGACGACAGCAAGATTGTGAAGCAGGGCTGGCTCCTGAAGCGCGGTGCGTGCGTTGCTTGTGTACGCATGTGTGTGTCTGTGTGTGTGTCTGTCTGTCTGTGTATGCATGTGTGTGTCTGTGTGTGTGTCTGTCTGTCTGTGTATGCATGTGTATCTGTGCATGCATGTGTGTCTGCCTGTCTGCCTGTCTGCCTGTCTTTCTGTGTATGCGTGTGTGTGCTTGTGTGCGCTTCTCTAGCCGTACATATTTATGCCTGGTCCACGAAGACACGCACACACACACACACACACACGCTCGCTCTCACCAAACCTTTGTTGTTGGCACTGCTGTTGGGATGTGTGCAGGTGAATACATTCGCAACTGGCGCAGCCGCTGGTTCCAGCTCAAGGAGGATGGCTCCTTCCGCGGGTATGTTCATTGCGTGTTCATTGCGTGCTGCCGAAAGCCTCAAACACGCACACACACACACACTCACTCTCACGCTCACTCATACACACACTCTCTCTCACGTTCACTCACACTCACTCTCACTCACACACACATGCTCACACACACTCACTCTCACTCACACACACGCTCTCTCTCGCTCGCTCGCTCACTCACACACACACATACTTGCGCCCACCGCAGATTCAAGCAGGGCCCTCCTGCCCCTGGCGACGAGCCCATCAACCGCTTCGACCTTGACGGTTCGTTGTGGCCCATTGTTGGCACCCTAACGTGTGACGAAGTACCTCACCCGCATGCCCACGTCATACATGTTTTCCCCACCGCTTCTTTCGCTGCACCATATGTCACACTTACTCATGCTCGCCTTGTTGCACACACTGCAAACAGGTTCCACGCTCACGAAGACCGAGGACGGCAAGCCCCTCGGCGCAAAGGGCAAGAAGTTTGGCTTCCTCATTCGGTACAGAACAGTGCCCTGCCCACAACTGGCGCACGCACCTGCGTGCCACTACCGTTCTTTTGCCGTTGTCCTTTCACGCTGCGCAACGCGCGTGCATGTGTGCTTTGTGTCTCCCGTGTCGCTTGGCACTGCCCACCGCATGCAACATGAACTCAAACACCGCTCCGCATGGGACTACGTATAGGTTCATGCAGCTGACGCGGTTTGTGGAGCGCTCGTTCCACGTTGAGTCTGAGGAAGAGCGTGACGAGTGGGTTGCTGCATACGAGGTTGTCAAGAAGAAGCTTGAGGAGAAGAACCTGGCCCGCCGTCTCGACTCTGACGCCACCCACAAGATTGCACGATGTACGTAGCTGCCCTCCCGCTCCCCCTCCCCGCCTTGCCTTGTCTGTCTCGTGTCCTGTGCTAGTGTGCTGGTGTTCTGCGCTCTTGACGCCCACGCCCTTATGCCCTTGTTGCGCTGCTGTGCTGATGCAGCAACCGAGTCTGTCACGCTGGATGACTTTGAGATGCTCAAGGTCCTCGGCAAGGGAACATTCGGCAAGGTAAACAGTCTGCATGACTGGCACTCGACGACGACAACGACGACGACGACAACAACAACAACAACAACAACAACAACAACAACAACAACAACAACAACAACAGCAACAGCAACAGCAACGACATCCGAACTGACTACAGCTGCAACAACGATGTCCCACAACACCTCTTCTCTTCCTGCTGGGGCACACGTGCTCATGTGCATGTGTGGGCTGTCTTTGTCGCCCGTCCTCACCACCACCACCACCACCATTCCCCCTTGTCCTCGTTCACCTGTGTGCAGGTGATGCTGGGCCGGGAGCGCAAGTCACGCGAGCTGTTTGCCATCAAGATCCTGAAGAAGGACGTCATCTTGGAGAAGGAGGAGGTTGGCCACACCATGACCGAGAACACCGTCCTCCAGAGCACAGACCACCCCTTCCTCACAAGTACGGCAATGCGACATCGAGCCCGCGTCGTTGGCGTTGTGTTTTTGTTGCACGCACGCGTGTACGAATGTGTGGAGGCAGGAGGCGGTGGAGCAAAAGCAAATGCTGCCGCTGCTCTTTGTTGTTGCTGTTGCTGGAATTGATGAAGGCGATGATTTCGTTGAGCTGCATTCGCAACACATCGCCTCCCCGTCTCACAAACTACCACCAACACCGCCACTGTGTGACAGGCCTCAAGTATTCCTTCCAGACAAACGAGCTGCTCTGCTTCGTTCTCGAATACGTCAACGGCGGCGAGCTTTTCTTCCACCTCTCAAAGGAGAAACTCTTCACAGAGCCCCGCGCCAGGGTATGCCTCACACACGCACACATGCACACACAACACACTACACCACACCACACTACCCCACACCACACCACACTACACGCACACATGCACATACACACGCTCTGTCTTTGGCTGCGTCCGAAACCGCGCCGCCCTCGTTGTACTGTATGGTTCAGTTGTCCAAACACGTCCACACATGTATGTGTCTTGGGTGGTTGTCGTCGCACCGGTCTCACGCCGTGCTTGGGCTGTGCCTTTCCTGGTTGCCAGTTCTACGCTGCTGAGATTACGCTGGCCATCACGTACCTGCACGACCACGGCATCATCTACCGTGACCTCAAGCTCGAGAACTTGCTCCTCGACCGCCACGGACACATCAAAATCACAGACTTTGGCCTCTGCAAGGAAGACATGTCGTACGTTGCTTACACAATGCACGCAATAATGGACTGTGTATGAGGCGTAAGCCGCCCATGCGTGCACGCGCGTGTGAGTGAGTGTGTGATTTGCGAGCAATGCGGATGCCTTGTTAGTGACGCTCACACTCACCGCTCCACCGTTTTTTTTTCCGGACAGGTACGGCGAGACGACGCGCACGTTCTGCGGCACGCCGGAGTACCTTGCGCCGGAGATTCTCGAGGACAGCGACTACGGGCGGTCTGTGGACTGGTGGGGCGTCGGCGTCGTGCTCTATGAGATGCTCTGCGGCCACCTCCCCTTCTACAACCGCAACCACGAGATTCTCTTTGAGCTCATCCTCCAGGAGCCCGTCAGGTCAGTCTCACACGCCGTTGTGTCGCTGTGTGTGTGTGTGTGTGAGCGCACGCGCTGGATTTGGTGGATGTTGGGCGTTGTTGAGTAGTTGCCTTTTTGCTTCCGACTTCATACCCTGCAATGTGTTGTTGCTCACATTGCCTCTTTCTCACCTTGCTGGTTGGTGCATATTGTGTGCTGCCGTGCCAGGTTGCCGGACCACCTGAGTGAGCCGGCAAAGGACATGCTCGCCAAGCTCCTCGACAAGGACCCGCTCAAGCGCCTCGGCGGTGCTAACGTACGTCAACGTTTCATCACACACACACACACACACACACACACACACACACGCACGCACACACACACACACACACACACACACGCATACTCGCGCACGCACGCTCCCGCACACGCATTTATGCCCTTGAACCACAACCACCATAACCGCAGAATGACGGCAAGGATGTGATGGGGCACCCCTTCTTTGCGCCAATTGACTTCAACAAGCTCTACCACCGCGAGCTCCCGCCCCCGTTTGTCCCAGAGTACGTGTGACAGCTGTTTTTGCAGCTGTGCTTTTGTTTTTGCCACTCTCAAGACGCCATTTCCACCTGCCACTCACTGACACACTGCGCATTCACACACACACACGCCCACTCATTCACTCACGCAACTACTCACACACACACACACACACACACACACACACACACACATACACACACACACTCTCTCTCTCTCGTTCGCCACTGCGCAGCATCAAGGGCGAGGAGGATGTGAGCAACTTTGACGAGATGTTCACGACGGAGAAGCCTGAGATCTCGCCAACGGACACGGGCGCGCTCGAGACAAGCGCCGACGCGTTCTCAAACTTCGACTCTGTTGTCAAGACCTGAGCCCGCCTCCTCCTTGCCGTTTCATCCCTTCATTCATAACACGTCCCATGTTTTGCAGACAAAAGAGAAGCACCAAGAATTGTGCATCTGTTGCAGCACGCGCGCTGTGTCCTGTCACCTTTCGTGCACCACGCTCGTGTGTGTGTGTGTGTGTGCATGTCTTGTGTTGTGTGGTTTGCTCTTCTTGGTTCTCCTCCTCTTTTCTTCCTCTCTTCCTTCTCTCTTTTCCTCCTGCTTTCTTTTCTCCTCTGTGTCTATCGCGCGTTGCTTGCTTGCTTGCTTGGGAACTGTTCCTATTCCTCCCTACCCTGCGCCTGTGTGTGTGTGTGTGTGTGTGTGTGTGTTTTGTTCGTCCTTTCTCTACACTCAATGTTGCCCCCTTTTCCCCCTCATGTCACGTATCCGAATGACCCGCTGTTGTCGTCGTTGTATGCTCCCGTGCCTGGTTTTCGTGAGCGCCTGTCTGTTTTAATGATCCACAGTAAACAGTGAGGGCAACGCTGCAGCACCGACACTCACGCCAGCAAGCAACAAACGGCGCCCAACTCAACACTCAACTCAATCTAAGAAGCTCCTGCTCTGTGCGTGCGTGCGTGTGTGTGTGTGCGTGTGTGTGTGTGTGTGTGTGTGTGTGTGTGTGTGTGTGTGTGTGTGTAACGACGCCAAAGAAGCCGGACAGTCAGCTAAAAGGGAAAACGCCACTGTGAGTGCATGTGCGTGTGTTCGTTGTGGTGAAATGGAAAGGGGGGAGGAGTGCTATCCGCTAGGAAGAAGAAAACAAGCAAGGGAAGGCGAAGAGTAGTAAGATGTGATGTCACGACGGCACGCGAACCAATGAGCCAGTATGTAAGAAACCCAAACCCAAGGGATGAAAACGCCAAAAGAACGAAAAGAACGAACAACGCAACAACAGGCGTAAGTGGTGTTGCTTCAGAGGAGCGAGCAGCAGCCGCACATGGACGATGACTGTTCCGTTGCTGGAGACCGGCGTGACTTGGGCTGTGGTGACATGAGCAGGGGCTCCTTCTCCGTCGTCTGCGTCGCAAATGGAGCCTCGTGCCTGCAGGCACAGACCCAACGGCAACGCAACAGTGTGCGTGCGTGTGAGTGTGTGTGCGCGTGCGGGCGCGTGTGCGTTTGCGAGTGCGTGTGCGTGTGCGTGTGTGTGTGTGTGCGTTTGCGAGTGCGTGTGCGTGTGCGTGTGCGTCAGTGTGTGTGTGTGTATATATGTATGTGTGTGTGTGTGAGCAGACGGAGCATGGACAATGGGTTCACGAGGCATGAAGGTCGGCCAAAGCATGTGATTAAAGCTGAGAGACATAAGGGTGACACGAGAGACAGTTAAAGTGTGCATGCACACGGGTGATGGTGGTGCGTTGCTTACACAACAGCTGGGCGCTGGAGCCATTGGTGGCCGGGCGAGTCGATGAGAGACAAGAGGAAAACGATGGAGGTCAAGGAGAGAGGTGAAGTTGGGGGGAAGGTGAGATGTGAAAGTGAGCGATGAAGCAAGTTGGTGAGAAGAAGACACACACGAGGGACCAAGGCAGAGATGGAGGAGGGGGGCTGATGTTGGCAGTTCACTACAGGTTGCAAATGGATGTGCGTGTGTGTGTGTGTGTGGAGGGGGCGGGGCTTTGACGGACCGGCGATGTTGGCGTGGATGCTGAAGCGCTGGAGGAGACGGGACGGCGCGGGCTGGACGACGGCGTCTGCTGTGCAGCGGTGGACATGCGGTTGCGGCGTGAGAGGAACGTAAGTAATGCAAGACTTGCTGGGTGTAGGGTTGATGGTCGCAAGGGGCGAAGAAGAGCAGGGCAGGGAAGGGCAGGGGTGAGTAAAAGTAAACGCGTACATGAGACGGTGACAGTGCGGCAGCGGCTGCTCTCCTCTCTGCTTCCTCCTTTGCCTTGCGCTCAGCCTCGGCCTTCTCTGCCTCCTCCTTTGCCTTGCGCTCAGCCTCGGCCTTCTCTGCTTCCTCCTTTGCCTTGCGCTCAGCCTCAGCCTTCTCTGCTTCCTCCTTTGCCTTGCGCTCAGCCTCAGCCTTCTCTGCCTCCTCCTTTGCCTTGCGCTCAGCCTCGGCCTTCTCTGCCTCCTCCTTTGCCTTGCGCTCAGCCTCAGCCTTCTCTGCTTCCTCCTTTGCCTTGCGCTCAGCCTCGGCCTTCTCTGCCTCCTCCTTTGCCTTGCGCTCAGCCTCGGCTTTCTCCGTCTCCTCATCCACAACGTCATCTGCTGCCGATTTCGCTGTTGGGCACACACAAACAGCGACACCGTGAGACATGCAAGAAACTTCACTCTCGAAGCACATTCCACACGCACACACATACACACACGCACACACACACGCACGCACACACGCACACACGCACACACGCACACACACGCACACACACACGCACACAATACAGGTACCAACGCCCTCCGGAGGGCTGCACACCTGAAGGCTCAGGCTCTGGAATCTCAAAGTCCTCTGGCGCGTCTGTGCGGAGAGGGCCGAGCTCGGTGAAATAGGAGGTCAACTCGTCCTCCTCAATGCGACCATCACCGTCCATGTCAAGCCGCTCAAATACGCCCTGGGAGCCATGGTTGGTGGTGGTGGTGGTCAACTGAGGAACGCACACGTACGCACACACACGCGTACGCACGCACACACATTCAACTGGATGCATGCACACCCTTCAACGCACGCACGGCATTATGTGTGTGTGTGTGTATCATGGCAGGTCGCACCTTCCATTTGCCCTCGCCGCGATCCAGGACATATGTTTTGAAGTGCTTGCTTGCCGCAAGGAACTTCTTCAGCTCATTTCGCGAGAGCCAGCCATTGCCATCATTGTCTGCGTTCACAAACACAAAGCGGGCAAGCTGAGCTGGTGGGATGCTTGTCAGGTTAGCAGACTCGGCCTGCATGTCTTCCTTCGCCACCTTCTGCTCCTCGTCTTCCTTCTTCGCTTCAGCGCCTTCCACTTGCTCCTTGGAGGAAGTGGTGGCAGGGGCAGTGGCGTCGCTATCGCCAGTGTCGTTGTCATCCTGGTCACTGTCCACGGCGGTTGTGACAGCCACTTCATCGCGCCTTGTATCGCCTGCTTCTGCCTGCTCGTTGGCGTTCTTGTCCTGCCCTTCTTCGACCGGCTCACTCGGCGCAGCATCCCCGACGCGCCTCTGTGGTGTTGCTGACAGCAGTGCATCGTCTGCATCGTCTGCATCAGAGCGCTCGTCCGCTTGGGCCTCATCGCCGTCGTCGTCGTCATCGTCACTGTCTTCAACGGGCATGGCGAGGGCGCTCTGTCGCGCCGCCGCAACGTCGTCCACGGGCTTCGTGTCCTCTGCACGATCGCCCTGCTCTCGGGTGTCCTGCTGGACAGCTGCATGCGGCACGGATGTACAAACGTGCAAATGTGCAAATGGAACGTTGCGAGCGTGAATCAGATGTGGAAGAGTTGTTACTCATGCTGCATGCCCTTCACCTCGCAGGCGTGACGCGCGATCTCTCTTCACGACCACACAACAAAGGCAAACGAGCAGTTTGAGGAATCGATCTGAGTGCAACGGTATCGAGTCGCACCTGGTTGCTCTGCAGAGCCGGCCTGTGTGGGCTCGACTGCTTGCTGCGTCTCCTCCTCCTGCTTCTGCTGCTCCTGCTTCTGCTTGTCTTGCTGTTGCTTGTCTTGCTGTTGCTTGTCTTGCTGCTGTTTTTGCTGCTGCTGCTGTTGCTGCTGCTTTCCGCCTCCTTGGCGGTTCTTGCCTTTGGAGCCCTTCTTTCCTTTCTGTTGCGATTGGCCAAACGCAAAGTGTGTGATGTAGTGTGATGTAGTGTGATGTGATGTGTGATTTGCAATCGCCGGTGACCCAAAACCTTCACACCACAGGTCATTGGAAGTACCAAACAAACAAACCAAAGGAATACAAACAAGGGCAGCTGGACAGCTGCGCACACACACGCACACACGCACACACACACACACACGCCACTGACACAAACCTTGCCCATCTTGGTTGTGGTTGTTCGTCTGGAGCGAGGGGAAGATTAACTGAAATCATTCACGAATCATCGGCAATGTGGTCCGTTTGGTTTGTGTGTTTGTGTGTGTGTGTGTGTGTCTGTGTGTGTCTGTGTTTGTGTCTGTGAGTGTGTGTGTCTGCGTGTGTCTGTGTGTCTGTGTTTGTGTGTGTGGTGTGTGTGTGTGTGTGTGTGTGTGTGTGTGTGTGATCTCTCCTTTGATGCTTCCACCCCTCGCTTGCTCCATGGCGCATTTGCCAAAGCAACACAACACTAGCTGTGATTTGTAATGACACACGAGCAGGAACACGCTGTGCACGCTACGGAGAAAAACACACACACACACGCAAACACACACACACATACACTGAAGAGACCATTGCGACATGCGTGGGAGGGGCGTCATGAAGTGAGAAGTGTTCCTTTTGCAGATGATGATGACGACGACGATGTTTGGTGCTGTCCTTCATCACCCTTCAAGATGAAACCATGGTTAATGGAGGAGAACATGTGGGTGAACATGTGTGGGAATTTGACATGTGTGCGAGCGAGAAACGAGAGGTGAGAGGAAAGCAAACAGCCCAACCACAGGAACTAACGTGGGGTTGAAAGTCAAGTGTACGAAAAGCACACACACACACACTTCAACACACATGAGGGCGCGCACGCCGTGCCACATTTCCCACCTGTGGGCGATGCTGCTTGTTCATTGCTCTGTGCACCTCGCGTGCATCTGCTTCGTACGACTTGTTCCTGACACTCTGTCCTCCCGTCTGTGTGTACTGCGCGGCAAACAGGGACCCAGCAATCGACTTTTTCGCGTCCTTCCCGCCCTCACCCGATGATGCCTGCACATGCCCAGGTGGGAGATGTGAGTGCGCGCATGTGAATGTGCAGTGGGAAGACAAGCGCTCTCTTATTTGTGTGTGTGTGTGTGTGTGTGTGTGTGTGTGTGTGTGTGTGTGTTGTGGTTGCGCCCGCCCCGTGCACATGCGTGTGCTTGTGCACTCTTTCCATTCCATACACGCACACGCACACACGCACGCACGCACGCACGCATGCATGCACATGCGCACACATACAACCACACCCTAGCAACCACACAACCACACAACCACACAACCACACAACCACACAACCACACAACCACGCACACACACACACACAAATGTACGCGTGTTTCACCTGCATTTCCTCCAGTTCTTCGATGGTGGGGAGGTTCTTTGCCAGTTCCGACGTCTCGCCAGATTTGAGCAACGCACCTGCAGTCGCGTGCAACATGGAAGAAACACAGAGAGTGGCAGGCAGAGATTACATAGGCACACAGAGAGAGTGTGTGTGTGATTGTGTGTGTGTGTGTGATTCGTTGGTTGGAAGAGAACATGCATGCAAACACGGCAGATGAGCGGCTAGCCAGCGCAATGAATACGTACAAGTATGCGCACGCGCACACACACGCACGCACGCATACATGTGCACACATGGTTGATCGAGCACTAACCTTGGCGCAAGAAGTACTGTTTGGACTTTGAATCTGTTTGATACGCCAGTGGCAAACCACATGTGTTGCACTTCAGGCAATACTGCACCTCCACACCCTTTTCCCTGAAGAAACAACCCGCACACACACACGCCAGCTTGTGAGTTGGTGCACATCTGTCGAGTGATCGCCACACCAAGTGCCTTTTTGCTCCAGAGCAAAGAAGCTCGTCAAACCACAACACAGCCCACAGCAAGACAAACATAAGCAAACAAGACACACGTAAGCAAGCACACACGCAAGCACACGTAAGCAAGCACACACGCAAGCACCATCTCTCCCTGTCTCCCCTTCTTGCATTCCCTTCTTTCTTTCTTCAGAACAAACAGACCTTCTCACGACGATGGTTTCATCACTGGTCATGTTCAAACTGTACTTTCCCTTTGACCCATCGAAAAAGGCCGCGCCATCTGTGTTTCGCTTTGGCAGCGTCTCAATCGGTTTCTCTGTGCACATGCGAGCAAGGCCATATCTCCAATGAGCAGTGCGTTCGTGCTTGCATCTTCACACATGCCCAGTGGCAGCACACACAACACACGCACACGCAGCAACACAAGACACTCAGCCAAACCCCAGACACGATTGCAAATCACACACACGCACAACTGACCTGAGATGAGCGCCAGATGGCCGCACAGGCAGTAGTACACAGGGACATCTGTCTCTGGGACGGCATCCCGGTCTGTAGAGATGATTCCTCGTCGAGGCATGGCGCGTGTGGAGTTGTGAAGGAAGGAAGGCGAAGGTGACAAGGAGAGTGTGAGACAGAAAGATGCCTGCGAACGCTTGTTGTGCTGCTGCTTGTGGTTGCGGAAATGTTGTTGGAATTTTTAACCAATTTTCTACAATCGCTGTGAGAGGAGATGATGGCCAGCACTCGCGTGCTTGCACCGCACCCCGTATCGAACCTGCGCAGGATCGAGCGGGTGCCACGCGCAGACGAGACACGCGCAGAGAAGCGCTTGAGGTTACAACTAGACGCAGACCATGAGTTCCACCAGCGATTCTGGCACAAGAACAATACGGACTTTAAGCAGGTGTGAATGTGTGTGTGTATGTGTGTGTCTGTGTATGTGTATGTGTATGTGTATGTGTGTGTGTGTGTGTCTGTGTATGTGTGTGTGTGTGTGTGTGGCGACGTCTTGTACGTGGAGGCAGCAGTGTGTGTGCAGATGGGATATGCTGGTCAAGAATGCAGTGCTCGCTTCCCTTGCCGCCGATGTACCCATACTCGCAGCGACACCAATGCCCACCACCGCTGAAAGACAAGACATACTTGGTGTCCCAGTCATTCTGTATGCTCACGGTACATGCCGCGCTGCGCAACATGGCTTCACCCGCTTGCTGTCATAGGCGAGGGAGGCGTTCTTGGAAGAGCATCGTGAGGACATGAGTGCTGGGAGGTTGCCAGCGCACTTGATGGCGGAGTTTTACTGTTCATTTCTCGAGGCACATCGCGAAGACCACATCACCTACAACTTGGAATGGTGGGGTCGTGCAGCACGCCAAATCCCGCTCTACGTCCACGCATATGTCAGCCGTTTCTTCACTTTTTCCTGGTTGACCCTGCAGCCCCAACATTCTGAGCTGCAGGAAGGCCCATCTTCACAACCCGTGTCCTGCGAACACTGCGGTGCATGTGGATAATGTGAATCTGCGTGTGTGTGTGTGTGTGTGTGTGTGTGTGTGTGTTTGTGTGTGTGTGCGTGTGCGTGTGCGTGTGTGTGTGTGTGTGTGTGCGTATGCGTGTGCGTGTGTGCGTGTCCGTGAGTGTGTGTGCGTGTGCGTGTGTGTGTGTGTGTGTCTGTGTGTGTGTCTGTGTGTCTGTGCGTGTCCGTCTGTCTGTGTGTCTGTCGCTCCGTCTGTCTGTCTGCCTGTCGCTCTGCCTATTATCTGTATCTGTGTGTGTGTGTGTGTGTGTGTATGTGTGCGTCTAATTGCCTGCCTGCTGCCTGCCTAAAGTCTTGTTTTGTTTGCTTGTGTGTTTTGCACACACACGTGCGCACACGCGTAAACATCCATTCCCACACATGCCTACCCACTTCTTTCTTCCCTCCACGACGTTATACAGGCGCCAGTTGCTGCGTGACACGTGATGTATTTTTGCCAATGACCGTTGCTTTCCTGCTTGCATGCACATGTGCAGGAATCAAGAATAAACGCACTCTGTTTCAATGCAAGCGCTTGTTAAGTAACGCGGCGCGGGTGTGACACGCATGGCCCGGCAAGCAAGCAAGTACTTCAGTGCTTGTTGTCAACACCAACAGCGTGCATGGTGTGGTGGGAGATTTGATATGATGCGTTGTGCTGTGCTATGCTGTGCTATGCTGTGAGCCGCCACCAAACCCACCATGCCGCCTATCCCACGGTTGTGCAGCAGAGTCAAGCTGATGATGACTAAGATGAAGCAGAGGGGGCGGTGTCCCTGTGTGCGTGTGTGCTCGTGTGTGCGTGTTTCGCGTGGGCGTGTTGGGAGCACGTGGGGCAGTTGCTCTTCCACGTTGCGTCGCCGTCGTCGTAAATCTCCTTCTTCCAGATGGGAACTGTCTGCTTCAGCGTGTCAATGCAGTACTCGACCGCATGCATGGCACCCCGCCGGTGTGCTCCTGACGCCACAATCATCACACTCGCCTCTCCAACAGGAACCTCCCTACAATCACAATCATGTGAACATGTGGTTGCTCAACGTGACCCTGAACGCATCGCATCCACAAACGCACATACACACGCACATACACACGCGCATACACAAGCACATACACAAGCACACATACACACAAAACCACAAAAACATGCACGCACACACACACACATACACGCACACACACACACATACACGCACACACACACACACACAAACACACACACACGCACACAAGCACACACACACATACACATATGCACACGCACCCGATTCGGTGCACGATGGCAATGCGATAAATGTCCTGCCATTGCTCACGCATTTGTGCAGCAAGCTTGCTCATCTCCTTGAGTGCCATGCTTTTGTACGCCTCGTAAAATAGCGTCTTCACACGCCGGCCTTGGAAGTGGTCTCGAGTGGTACCTGTTGATTCAATTCCAAACACAGTGGACATGTATTCACAGTGATCCCAAATGCAAGCGCACAACAGTGTGTAAACCGGAGGCGGGTGTGCTTGCAACGAAATGCTGCAGGGTGAGATGCATACACACAAACACACAAACACGCGCACACGTACACACACACCAACACGCACACACGCACCGATGAAGACGCTTGTGCCGCCGGTGCAGCCTGCCCTGACCCACTGCAGCAGCTTGGCTTCATCAATGCTGGCCTCTGTCACCTGCACCAAATCGTTTGGCGCACCGCCGCCATCATCCTTGTCCTCCATCACAGTGATGACGATTTGTGAATGATACCCGCCATTTGTCGCGCGCACTGAACTCTGTGTGTGTGTGTGTGTGTGTGTGTGTGTGTGTGTGTGGGTGTGTGTGTGTGTGTGTGTGTGTGTGTGTGTGTGTGTTGCCGCTGCTTCGTTTGTCCTGTTGTCGCATCATTTCCTCTCTCCCGCCCCTGGTCTTTCTGTTCGTTGAGCGGGCTGTCCCTTTATTGTGGCAGCACACAAAGATGGACGTACACCAACGTCCATCCATGAACACACAACACAACAAAACAAAACACACAATACACACACAACACAACACAACAAAACAAACACACACACACACACACAAACACACAAACGTTCCCCCCCCCACACACACACACACCCTCTACCAGTAAATCTGGGTGGTGCCTGACAAGGTCTTGATGGCGTTGTTTGCGCGCATGTCTGTTTCATGAAAGAGGCGGCCTGCGAGCGTGGGCGCCACAAGCCCAATGCGGATGACAAAGTCCCCAAACCGCTCTGTCGGCGACAAGCGGTCGCGCGCATACCGCGTAATCAGGTCCTCCAGAATCGCCAGAATCTCCACCTCGCCAATGCTCTCCTTGTAGATCTTGGCCAGCCTGTTGCCAGCAAACCCGCCACCGAGGTAGAGGTTGTACGTCCCCGGCGCCTTGCCCACCAGCGCAATCTCCGCAACGTAGGGGCGAGAGCAGCCGTTGGGGCACCCGCTCATGCGAATCACAATTGCCTCCGACGTCAGGCCCGCCCGCGCCAGGATGCGCTCCACCTTGTCCAGCAGCGCCGGCAGATACCGCTCGCTCTCCGCCATCGCCAGCCCGCACGTCGGCAGCGCAACGCACGCCATGGAGTTGAGCCTGAGCCCGCTGTACTGGCCGTTGTCAATGCCGTACCTGCGCAACAGCGCCTGCACGCGCGGCTTGTCCTCCGTGCTCACCGCGCCAATGATCAGGTTCTGGTTCGCCGTGAGCCGGAAGTCGCCTGCGTGCGTCTTCGCCAGCTCCCGCAGCGCAGTCTTCAGCTGGTACGTCTCCGTGTCGCGGATCCGCCCGTTCTCAATGTACATGCCGTAGTGGTGGCGCCCATCCACGCCCTCGCTCCACCCGTAGCGGTCCGAGTTGCTCTCAAAGTGGAACGGCCGCGCAGGCTGCAGCTTGAACCCGGTCATGGCCTCCACCTGCTCCCGGTACCACACCAGCCCGTGGTCCTCCAGCGTGTACTTGAGGCGCGCGTGCTTCCTGTTCACCCGGTCGCCGTGGTCGCGTTGGATCAGCATCACCTTCTCCCCGACCTCCAGCGCTTGCTCGGGCGTGACAAAGCCAAGCAGGTCCGCCAGGCGCGGGTACGTGCGCGTGTTCCCGTGCGTCATGCCCATGCCGCCGCCAATGCTCACGTTCCACCCGACCAGCCGGCCCTCCTCCAGAATGGCAATGTACCCGAGACAGTGCGCAAACACGTCCACGTCATTCATGGGCGGCACCGCAATCGCCACCTTGAACTTTCGCGGCAGGTACGACGGCCCGTACAGCGGCTCCACGTCCGTGTGCGTGTCGCCAACCACCATCTTCTTGTCCAGCCAGATCTCGTGGTAGGCCGTTGTCTTTGGTTTGAGGTGCGCAGAGAGGCGGCGCGCAAAGGACAGCACCTCCGCGTGCGCCTGCGACTGCACCGGGTTTGGGTTGGCCATCACGTTGCGGCACACGTCCCCGCACGCCGCCAGCGTGTCCATGAGCCCGCGGTTGATGTCGCGGATCGTCGCCTTGAGATTCCACTTGAGCACGCCGTGCAGCTGAAACGCCTGCCGGGTCGTCAGCTTCAGCGTGCCGTTGGCGTGCGCGTCTGCAAGCGCGTCCATGCGCAGGTACTGCTCCGGCGTGCACACGCCACCGGGAATGCCCACACGCACCATAAACGAGTACGCGCGCTCCTTACCCGCGTCGTACAGCGCCTGCCGCACGTCGCGGTCGTCCTGCATGTAGATGCCGTGGAACTTGGTCAGCTTGGCGTCCTCGGGAAGAATGGCCGCCGTGCTCCGGTCCGCCAGCGAGCGCTGGATGTGTCCTCGAAGGTACCCGCTCCCGCCTTTGATGTCCTCGTCCACCAGCTGCTTGCCGCCGGCCCCCGCAGCAAACGCGGCGTCCTCCCCGTCCACGGGCGGAATATCCAGCGCTGCGAACACGGCCTCCTGCCATGGGTGCAACGCCTCCATGTACCCGTTCTCGTGCTGGTCGTCGCCAAGGCCGCACGGCGCCAGCTGCGTCGCCCCGTGCCCGCGCAGCACCGCGTCAAGGTCGCGCGCAGGCTTGCAAAAGTACTTGGCGCTGTCGGCAGTGCCTTTGCCCCAGTACTGGCTGTCGCCAAGCCCAAACACAGCAAACCGCAGGTGCCTCAGGCGCCCTTGCTTTGCCTTGCGGACAGCAGCCCACAGGTTCGTTGCGTTGCCGCACATCTCGCCCTGCCCTGCCGTGGACATGACAAAGAGCACCACGCCGCCCTCTTCCTCCTCGTCCTCAAGCTCATCCACCGTCACCGCATTTGCCTCCACGCACCGCACATCGGTCACGCCCCTGAACTCCAACCGCCTCGCCACCTGCTCGGCCACAGCAAGGCCGTTGCCGCTGTCAGACCCATACAGCACCAGGATCTTGAGTTCGATGCGCTGCCGCGCGTTCGAGTGGACACTGGCTTGCAACCGCCGCTGCGCCGCAACCAGTCTCTCTTCCAACGACTGGGAAATGGTGTCGTTGCTGCTGCTGCTGCTGCTGCTGCTGCTGCTGCTGCTGTCGCTGTGGTTGTTGTTGCCGTTGTTGCTGTCGTCGCTGCGGGTCAGGAGACTCAACTGTGACTCCCGTGCAAGAAACGCCTCAATATCGCTGCGAAGTTTTGCTGAGTCGAGGCGGAAGGCTGCTGGCACCTGCCTTGTCGGTGCTGCAGCAGGCGTGCCTGACGACGACGACGTTGCGCTGGTTGCTGCTGCGACAACATCACTGCCGCCGTCCTTGCCGTGACGAGTGCCATCAGGGCCAGTTGACTGCTCCTGTTCCAGCGCCGGGTTGTAACGAAAGAGCGGCCACGCTCCTAAAGCAACAGCTGCTTCGCTCTCCGCTGCCATGCGGCTGCTCGCCTGCACTCCCACCTCACCAGCACCGCCCTCGCCTTGTTCTTGTCGCTGTTGCTGTTGTTGTTGTTGTTGTTGTTGTTGTTGCTGTTGCTGCTCCTGCTGGCGCTGCCGTCGCCGCGTGGGAGGAGGGGCGTAAGCGACGATGATGGCGGGCCCATCAAAGGCGTCGGCCTCTGCCAGCGCACGCATGGCCTGCGAGGCGCCCGCATGCACAGCAATGGACGCAACATAGACGCCGCCATAGTTCATGGCGTACAGCGCAATGTCCCGCTTGAGTCGCCCTTCCCTGCGCAGCTCCGGCCGCGGCGAGCTGTAGTCCTCCATCTCGGGCACAATCACATTCACGTTCTCGCCAGAGGCAATGACATGATGCAAGCCGCTCAGCCCAATGTCGCGCGCCCACGCATCTGCCCCGAGAATCCACCGGCTCGGCTTGGGAAAGTGCTCGCGCGCGCGAAAGATGGCAGCCAGGGTGGGATGACGCGTGTGCACGGCTGCCAAGTGCTGCGTGGCAACGGCACCCAGACGGCGGCTCTTGTCCGCGTCGTTTCGGTGCTTCAGCCACAGGTCGAGAGCAGAGCGGAGGTTGGCCGGCATGTCGAGCCCAGGCGGCGCAAGGGCACTGGTGACGAGGCGCACAAGGGCGCGGCGACGGTGGATGCGCGCCAGGTAGATGCCAAAGCACATGTCCGTGCTCGCGTTGAAGATGGCGCGAACGTCTGCCGTGCTGTCCGTTCCCGCGGTGTACGCCCCATTGAACAGCGACGGCGTGCTGCTTGTGCTGCTTGTGTTGGTGGAATGCTGGTGGGTCGCAGTCGTGGATGGGTGCTGGTGGGCTGCAGTCGTGGATGGGTGCTGGTGGGCTGCAGTCGTGGACGCGTGCGCCAAGACAAAGCGCTCTCCAAAAAGAGAGCGTAGCAAGCTGACATAGGGCTGTGTCGCCTCAGCCTCCACACGCGCCTGCGTGGACGCATCACCACTGGAAACCAGCTGCCCATCGTCAACACACAGCGGCACAAACAACAGCGATGCTGGTGTTGGAGTTGGCAATGTGTATTCATCATGGTGCGCTGGCAGGAGAGGGCTATCGGCCTCGCGTGGCAGCCGCGTGAGCGACACCCGCTGCAACGCATCGCCTCGCATGCCAAGTGCGTCAAGCACGCCGTCCCCCTGCAGCTGAATCGGTGCAATGAGCAGCGTTGCATTACGTGCAAGCAAATCACGCTTGAAGGCGGGTGGAAGTTCAAAGTCCACCTCGTCCTGTGCCCAGTCCGTGCACAGGACAACGCGGCCACCCGGCGCAAGGGAGGCGAGGAGAGGTACTTGTGGGAGGAACAACAGGCTTGCATCAGCAACGACGACCGTGTGCACATGCAGCGCACGCAGCGACGATAGTGCTGTTGTTGTTGGGGATGGTGGCGTGATGGTCGTGCACGTGATGCGACCTGCTGAACCAGCGCGGCCAGCATCGCTCACAACCGTGGCAGGCAACAGAAGCCTGTCAGTTGTGCTGTTGCTGCTTGGGCTGGCGCTTGTTGGAGCGGCAGTTGTCATTGTCGCCGCCGTGGCAGTGTCACTGCTGGTGGAGGCAACACGATCGGAGGTGCTTGAAACGCCCCCAGCCGTTGTCTTAGCCAGCAGGGTGTCGACTGCTTCTGTGGCCTGTTTGTGGAGGAAAGGCGTGGCGCCACCCACGTTCCAAACGGCCATGCTGGAGCCAGCAACAACAGCACAATCAGCGTCGACGTGCTCTGTGTTGCCTGTGGGTGTGGTAACTGCTCCAAGATGAAGCGCATTTTGCGCGTGTTCTCGACTCAGCTCCGCAAGCGCCTGCAGGATGCGGTGTGCAGTGGCTGCCTCGACCAGGGCCGGGTGTGGAGAGGCGTGGGCGCTGCTGGTGTGGAGGACAAGCTGCCGGAGAGCAATGTCGCCAGCAACGCCACCGAGATGCAGCGCCGTGGTGACGTCCGCAGTGAGCACGCGAAGGGCAGACAGATTGTTGCCGTCGCTGCTGTCGCTGTCACTTCCACTTGGCGGTGCATCGGGTGACTCGGCGAGAACCACGATGGTGGTAATTGAGGTGGGGAGGGCTTCAAGGAAGAGTTGGGGCTGCCATGGTCGAAGGCAGCGCACGGCCAAGATCCCAACACCACCGATGCCACGCGCGACGTCTTGCGTCAGTGCAGCTGCGTGGGCGAGTGCTGGGGCAACACCTGCAGCGAGGGTGACGATGGCGGTGGTGGCTGCGGCTGGCCCCGTGTACTCGAAGAAAGCGTAAGGGGCAGCGGTTTCCGGGCGCAGGGCGCGCTCGTTGATGAGATCAAACGCACGCTGCATCGCGGTGGGCGTGGCAATGGACGCGCCTGCACGTGTTGCTGGGGGGCAAGACGTGGAACCCGTGTTGTTGACGCCGTTGTTGCCGTCAGGCGCTGCATCCGCTGTCAGGGCCAGGATGGACGCGAGCACATCGGAGGAGATGAGCGAGGTCGAAACTTGCGCGGCTGCGTGGGTTGGCCCAGGCAAGACAGCGTGCACCACTGGCGTGCGAGCAAGACGCGCAGCGACGTGGGCAACCAGCGCCATGTCGTGTGCCTCTTGCGCAGTGGCGGAGGCCAGTATTGGAGCGCCGGCATCGCGAACCGCCATGAGCGACCCAACCAAGGACCGTCCACCGCCACTGCCCCTGCCCCTGTTGCCCCTGCTGGTGGTGGTGGTGGTGGTGGTGCTGGTGCTGGTGGTGCTGGTGGTGGCGTTTCCATCATTGTCTGTGTTTGCTGCTGGCCATCTAGCATCGCCAAAGGCAGCGATTACGGCCGGTTCGCAAGCCTCCACGGCGGCAAAGATGCGAGACGCCTGTGTCAGGAGTTTGGACGCTGGGACCAACGTTGTTGGCGCAGCGGCGCTGGCAGAGGCTGATGATGAATCCGCGTTGCTTCGTGCTGCTGGTGATGCGGCCACGGATAAAGTGACAGCAGGCACGCGGTGCTGCGCATTTTGGCGGCGCTCTCGTGTTGCCCAGCTTGTCAGCAGCTGTGCCTCTGTTGCTGTGACTGCGCTGGTCTCTTCAACATTGATTCTGCTGCTCGCCAAATACCTGTGTTGCGCGCGCGCGCGTGTGCGTGTGTGTGTGTGTGTGTGTGTGTGTGTGTGTGTGTGTGTGTGTGTGTGTGTGTGTGTGTGTGTGTGTGTGTGTGTGTGTGTGTGTGTGTGTGTGTGTGTGTGTGTGTGTGTGTGTGTGTGTCAGGGGGGTATGATATTGGAGACGGATGGACGGAGGGACGTAGGGACGGAGGGACGTAGGGGCAGAGAGACGAGAGACAGAGAGACAGAGAGAGAGAGCAAGGAGCTGGCGAAGCGAAAGGACGCCATCACTTACACACACATACACACACACTCTCTCTCTCTCTCACACTCTCTCACTCTCACATACTCTCTCACTCTCTCACTCTCTCACTCTCTCGGATGCACGTACGTGGCGTGAGCGTGGGCAGTTGCGAGATCGACGACGGGCATTCTCGTGGCTGGGCAACGGTGTTTGAGGCTGACACAGGGTGATTGTGAATGGCAAATGCAGTGTGACCACTCTCCGTTGTTAGTCTGCACAAATCCACACAACAACAACCATCATAACAAACAACAAGCAACACACACACACAACACAAACACACACACACACACACAAGCACACAACACAACACAAGCACAACACAACACAAACACACAACGTGTGCACCAGGCAGTGTCTTGATGTTGTCACATCATGCCAATCATGATGACGATGTCACAACAACACCAAAGCTGAGACATCTCCTGCGGTTTCACCCTCCACTTTTTTCCCTCGACCACTCATCACGCACCACTGCCACCACCACTCACCACTGCTCATCATCCCAGCTCACTCAAATCATGTCACACACACACACACACACACACACACGCGCGCGCGCGCGCGCCAGTGCTCGTTTCAGGTTTGTGTTTTCGAGTGCAGAATGACGCGGTACCCCGAACGCAACAGAAAGTGTGAATTGAGTTCAAAGTGCGCACACGAATCCACACACCCAAAGCCAAAACGACATACATTGGTCGCATACATCCACCATGCCAGTGGCGAAGCGCGAAGGACAGCCAGGAATGACGACAACGGCGATGGGGCCGGTGCAGTGCTTGCAGTGTGGCTGCAGTGCTGGTGTGGAGTGTGACAGTGACTTCTCTCCCTCTCCACTCTGTCGCCCTGTTTCTCTTCAGATGCCTCTCCTTACATTAACACCCCCGTGTTGTCACATTTACACGCCGTCATCATCATTCATCATTCCTTGCACATGAACAACGCCCAGCCATGCTGCCTGCACTGACCACAACACAGGTGCAGCTGGACCTGAGGGAGGTGTGGGAGCCGGCAGCTCGCGCCGTGGCGCTGGCCGCGCTTGCTGGAATCGGTGCATGGCAGGCGTACATGCTTCTGTTTGGCAGCGAAGCAGAAGCAGACAGCACCCACCCAAACCAGAAGCGAGGTGGAGGAGGCCTTGGAGGAGGTGGGGGTGCAGCGCGCGTGTCTTTCACCAACGACGACGACGACAGCACCACCCCAAGGCATCGCGCCACGTTTCACACCACATTGCAGACGGAACCTTCCCCATCACAACCAACGACAGCCGGCTTCGTGTTGACCAGCACCACCACCGCCAGCACCGCCACCACAAGCGCGAGCGCCACCACAACGCCGGCGCACGTCGTGGCCGCCATTGCAAGCGCTAGCGCAGACGTGATTCTGGGATTCAAGAGCGGGTCCGCCCGGGACTTGGCCCTGACCGTGCAACGGGTGGTCCATGACAGGCGGATCAAAGGGCTCGGCGTTCCGAAAACCATGCAGCTGCTGAGCACACGTGCGGGCGCCGGGACGACGCTGCTTGGCTTTCTGGCAGAGCTGCCGACACGCGCCAGCACAGTCACAGCCACGGTCCCAGCTCAGAGCCTCCCCACGATGCTACCCGCACTGCATCAGCTCGCGGCGCGCGCAAGCTCCACTCCAACAGCAAGCACCGCCTGCGTGCTCACCATCACCCTGGAACACGTTGCACCCGACCTGACACAACGCACCCACTGCGCCGCCCTCAGCCTGCTCGCTGACATGGGTGTGCCCGTCCTCCTGTCGGCAACGGGTCAGGACTGCCACGACCACGCCCTTGTTGCGGCGCACTATGCAAACACATACGCTCGCCCCATCGCTCACGTGATTGACGGTGTGCGGCTGGCCAACACGCACCAGCAGATCCGCATCCTCCCCGACCCAGCCGTCACCGCACTGCTGATGCGCAATGACGAGTCTTCAGGTACACAAGCGTCGTCCGCACACCCTTCGCCTTCGAATTCACCTCCACCAGTGTCACCAACGGCAACTGCCGCCGCGAGCGCCGCACATTCCTCGGCTACCTCTGGCTTTGGCTCTCGCTCCCCATCACCTCCCGTCGATGCATTCCCTTCGAAGCAGCCGACCACGACAGCCGCCCTGCAGACAGCGCCAAGGACAGGACAACGCACAGCCCATCTTGGCGGCATCACCTCCACGCTCAACACCCACCCATCCACAGCGGACCGTCTTCGTGCAAGCCTTGACGCTGTGGGTGCTGCTGTACACCACCAGCTGCCGTTCTTCACATACACGGGGCCACCAACTACATCTGTCGATCTTGTGGTCGTCGTCCTGGCTCCAGTCAGCCCAACCTTCGTCTCTGTTGCCGCAGAATACAACCGCCGCACCAACACGGGAGGCCACACCACCACCGTTGGCGTCCTTGTTGTCAACGTGCTCCGCCCTTGGGATGCCTACGCCTTTCGCGCAGCGCTGCCACCCCAGGCTGGCCGGATTTGTGTTGTGGAAACGGCAGCGCCTGCTGTGCAATTCACAGCACACCATCAGCTGCTCACCACAGACGTGTGCTCGTCTGTGTCACCGCCGCCTTCCCCATCGTCGCCTCGTGTAATTAGTGCATGTACCCCACATGTGGTCGTTCGCCACATCGAAGTGGACGCGCGCGGCGTGCAGCCCGCACTTGCCGCAGCCGTCATTGCCACGGCCCTTGAGCCAGCACCGCTGCCACACCTCGCCCAACACAACAACAACAGCAACAGCAACAGCAACAGCGTGCAGGAACACGGCCTCGGAAAGCAGCTACAGCAGCGCATCGACAACAGCAACGCGGCTATCTTGCTCACCAACACCACAGCACGTGAAGTTTTGCGCCTGCATTCGTCAGCAACATCGCCAACCTCAACCACTGCCCTGGCTGCCGTGGCCGCAGCCACAAGTGACGATGGCGTGGTGGTGAATGTGTACGCGCATTTGAACCAATCGGTTGAGCGGTTGTGCTCTAGCTTTGTGCAGCAGGTGCATGCCCAGTGCCGTGTGCCAGCAACAGCGTTCACCAGCGAGGACGCCTGCTTCGCCTCCGGTGTTTCCCGCACACAGCTCTGCATTGGCGGCAGCAACACTCACGTTCGTGACAGCCCGGCCGCCGCCGCTGCTGTTGTCGCTGATGTGGAGCTCCTGGCAGAGCTGGCCCCATGGCTTGCACGCGAGCTTTGTGAGCATGCAAGTGTCTTTGTCGTTGCTGCTGATGCTGATGCGGCTGTGAACCACCTCAAGGAGCACACTTCCCCGTCAGCACTACGGCTGCTCTCTGACAAGCACATTGCCATCACTTTCATCAACAGCACCGAGGTACGCACGTGTGTGTGTGTGTGTGTGTGTGTGTGTCTGTGTGTAGATGTGCGTGTGTGTGTCTGCGTGTGTCTGTGTGTAGATGTGCGTGTGTGTGTCTGTGTGTAGATGTGCGTGCGTGTGTGTGTCTGTGTGTAGATGTGCGTGTGTGTGTAGATGTGCGTGCGTGTGTGTGTGTCTGTCCGTGGGTGTCTGTGTGTGGTGTGTGTCCATGTGTCCATGTGCGTGTACATTTCCATGCGCGTCTGTAGTGAGTGCCGTTGCTGGTGTCACAGTGTACACCAACCAGACGCACCCTGCTGCATCATGTTCACAAACTACACACTCGCGTTGTCACTGACGCTGCTTTGTCTTTGCTCTTCCACCCCTGATAGGGAACGCATGCAGCCAATGTTAGCACTGCGGTCTTGCTTGCACGCGCCAGCCACGTGTTGCCTGCTCTGCACAGCTTGGACCTTGGTGCGGTCCTTGACAATGCTACCGACCCGCTGGTCAGAGAGGTGCAGTCGTCATCGGCAGAGCTTTTGTCAGCAGCACGAGCGGCGCCGACGACAACGATTACAGCTCATCATCTCGTGGACAGCACACCCAACAACAACAGCGCACACCCAGCCTCCAACCACCACGACACGGACGCGTCCAGCGGCAACAGCGCAGATGAAGGTGACGACAGCGGCGTGGATGAGGAATCCGCCACTGCATTCATCCCCCGCGTGCGCGTGGTGGCTCCAACCCAGCCGGAAACCAGCGGGGCGCAGCAGCTCACTGCTAGCGATCTAGCGAAGAGGGTCGTGTTCCAGGACACCTTTAGCGCCGAATCTGGGCATCGTCCCGGTTATGCAGGCATGTACCGTGTTCGGTTGACCAAGAACCAGCGCCTGACACCAGAGGACTACCACCGCAACATCTTCCACCTCGAGATGGAGTGAGCATGAAGAGAAGGGGAAGGCAGCAAGGGTGTGTGAGTGTGTGTGTGTGTGTGGGCGTGTGTGGGCGTGTGTGCACGATGTGGAAAGGTTGTGCCACGTACTTTTCGACATGTGTGTATCAACGCGCACGCGCACTCACTCACTCACTCGCTCGCTCACTCACTCACTCACTCACTCACACTTTCATTTTACTCACTCACACACACTTTCATTTTACTCACTCACACACACACACACCACAACACCTCGACATCTGCGCGAACCATTCCACCAACACCTCTGCAGCATCCGCGGAACAGGCCTGGAGTACCGCATTGGGGATGCACTCGGCGTGTACGGGCGAAACGACCGCGACGACGTGCGCTCGTTCCTGGCGATGGTTGATATCGGCCCAGATGCGCTGGTGGAAGTCGACCACACACAGCAAGCGGGATGCAAGGAGGTCATGACGGCGATGCAGCTGTTCACGGACCGCCTGGACGTGTTTGGGAAGCCATCGCAGAAGTTCTACGCTGCGATTGCCGCGCACACGAGCGACTCGTACGAGCGTGCGAAACTGGAGTGGCTTGGCAGCGACGACAAGGAGGGCTTTCGACTGCGCCAGCTGGAGACATACACGTTCGCAGACGTATTGGAGGAGTTTCCTTCGGCGCGGCCGCCGCTGTCCGTGCTGGCCACCATCATTCCGCCAATCAAGCCGCGCCACTACTCCATTGCGTCCAGCATGAACAAGTGCCCGCACAGTGTCCACCTGCTGGTGGTGCTCGTGTCATGGACTACGCCAAAGGGACGCGAGCGCTATGGCCAGTGCACACGCTACCTCTCCCAGCTCTGCCCTGATGGCGATGAGGACGTGTTCTTGACAGTGGACATCAAACCAAGCGTGATGCACATGCCAGCAGATGCACGCCGGCCCATCATCATGGCGGGGCTTGGCACAGGCATGGCCCCATTTCGTGCGTTTCTCCAAGAACGCCAGTACCAACGCGAGCAAGGGCTTGAGGTGTGTGTGTGTGTGTGTGTATGCAATGTGTGTGTGTGTGTGTGTGTGTGCTGTGCTCGGTGTGTGCTTGCTTGTGTCAATGCGCTTCTGCTGCTCACACCAGTTCAATTCAACGCACCTCGTGTCACTGCTTCGTTTCATGTGGCGTTGCAGGTTGGTCC